CTCCCCCCCCTGGATGGAGGGGGGGGGTCGAACCCCACCCCCCCGCCCCCCTTCCCGTGACGGAGGAGGGGGGGGGTTCGAACCCCCCCCTCCCTCCCCTGCTTCCGATCAGATGCGCAATCCAAAAATTCCCCTGCTTCCCCTCTCCTCGGGCCGGCGCTTGCGTCGGCGGCGGCTGGCGACGGCGGCGGGGACGACGATTTCCATTTCTGGGCGGGCGCCTGCGCCTGCGGCGGCGGGATGCACTGGCGGGGAACTCGTCGACGAGGACGACGGTGGTGGTGGTGGTAGTGGTGTTGTGGTGGTGGTGCGGTGGGGTTTTTTTGTGGTTGGTGGTGGTGTGGTGGTTTGTTGTGGTGGGTGGTGGTTGTGGCGGTTGTGGTGGTGGTGGTGGTGGTGGCGGTTTGGTGGTTTGGTGGTGGTGTGGTGGTGTGGTGGTGGTTTGTGGTGGTGGTGGTGGTGGGTTGTGGTGGTGGTGGTGGTTTGTGGTGTGGTGGTGGTTTGTGGTGGTGGTGGTGGTGGGTTGTGGTTGTGGCGATGGTATGTGGAGGTGGTGCTGGTGGTGGTGGTGGTGGTGGTGGTCGTGGTGGTCGTGGTGGTGTGGTGGTTTGTCGTGGTGGTGGTGGGTTGTGCTGCTGGTAGTGGTGGTGGTTGTGGCGGTGGTGGTGGTGGTGGTGGTGGTGGTGGTGGTGTGGTAGATTGTGGTGGTGGTGATGGTGGTGGTGGTAGTGGTGGTGGGTTTTTGTGGTGGTGGTGGTGGTTGTGGTGGTGGTGGTTTGGTGGTGGTGGTTTGTGGTGGTGGTGGTGGGTTGTGGTGGTGGCGGTGGTTTGTGGACGTTTGTTGTGGTGGTGGTGGTGGTGGCGGTGGTGGTGGTGGTGGTGGTTGTGTGGTGGTTTTTGTAGTGGTGGCGGTTGCTTGTGCTGCTGGTAGTGGTGGTGGTTGTGGCGGTGGTGGTGGTGGTGGTGGTGGTGGTGTGGCAGGGGCATTCAAGCGTGGTGACGCTTGCGCCCGCGCCTTCGTGCCGCATGCAGCCCCGAGTGGAGGGTAGGATGATGCTCGCGGGGGCCTGGTGTGCACCTGTGATGCGACGGTGTGCGCCTCGCTGTCATCCCCTCGTCGTCCTACCGTCCTCGCCCTGCTCGCTCCCCCGTTGCCCATGTCCCTCCTCGTCCTCCCCCTGCCCTCGTCCTCTCCATCCCCCATCCCTTCCTGGCCCCTCCCTCCCCGTGCGTCCCCCTCCTCTTCTTCGCCCCCCACCATCCCTGTCCCCGCCCCCGTCTACTTTTTCTCCTTCGTCCTCGCTGTCGGCGCCCGAATTCCAGAGGTGCCGAGCTCACATGCGCTGACAGGGGTCGGGAGGAGCACGATGCCGATGAGGACAGCGCGTCGCGATCCTGTCTGGGCCTGGGCCGTTCTCTTGCGCTTCTCATGACATTCCACGTGCCTCATGCTTTCCTCCTCGTCGTCCTCCTCCTCGTTCTCCTCCTCCTCCTCGCCCTCGTCCTCCTTGTCCTCCTCCTCCTCCTCCTCCTCCGCCTCCTCCCCCTCCTCCCCCTCCTTCCCCCTCAGTCCCGTCCTCCTTCCCTCTGCCCTCCCCCTTACCTTTCCCTCCTCCCACTGCCGCTTCCTCTCTCGGCTGTCGCTTCCCATGGGAGTGGCATCCGCCTCGCAGTTGTGAGCTTGACTCGCGCCTTCGAGGACGACCGAACCGACCTACCCTCCCCCTCCCCCTCCCCCTTCCCCTCCCCGTTCTCTTTCCCCTCCCCCCTTCCTCTCCCCCCGGCTCACGGAAAAAACAAGAGCATCTCGTGGCAAACCGCCTGCTTGTCACAAGCTTTCCGCTCCAGCGTCGTCTCAGACGGCCTTCCTTCCGTCCTTCCCCTTTCGCTTCCCCTCGTATCGCCGCCCGCCTCGCCGTGGTCGCTGCCGCCGCCGCCATCGTTGCTGTACTCACTGCTGTCTCCAGCTCTGTGTTCGGGGGCCCTCGGCGCCCGCGCGGCGGCAGGTCCGTGCGATGCAGGAAAGGAATCAAAAAGTACAGGAACGGCAGGGTGCCCAGAGAGGGCGCAGAGCAACGGCGCCCGCCGCCGAGATGGAAGGGGGGAGAGCTCTTCCAACTCAAGCTCCTCCCCTGAGTCGTAAACCCCTCTCCTCCTCCTCGCCCTCCCTCTCCCCTGCCCCCCCCTCTCGTCCTCCTCCTCCTCCTCGCCCTCTCCCCAGCTCTTCGCGCCCCTCGCCCTGCCGGCGGCTCCCGCTGCCGCGCCCCAGCCCCCCCCCTCTCCTCCGCCTTCCCTCGCCGCTCTTTTCCCCGGGCGTGCCCGCCTGCCTCGGCGGCGCGCACGGGGGGGGGGGCAGCGTGGCCTTCTCAGAAAGCGGGTGGGCTTCTGACACGGACACGATCCCCCCGAGGGCAGCGAATGGGGCTGTCTCTGCCCCAGCTGCTGCTTGGCGCCGGTGGTGATGCAGGGCGTGCTGGCGGGGGTCGGCGGACCAAGAGGCTTGGTGTTGCCAGAATCAAATCAGAGCCGACAGCGGACGCAGTCGAACAAACAAAGGAGAAGGCGGGTGGGATTCTTACAAGGCGGGTGCGTTCTCAGAGTCGCCAGGACGCTTCTACGAGAACTTCTTCGAAGCCAGGGGGTGGCTTCTCAGAAGCCACCCGCCTTCGTAAAAGCACCCTCGCCCTCTCATACGGCCGCCTTCCTCGTGCCTCCCCCCCCCTCCGGGCTGGGCCGCCAGCGACCCTTCCCTGGGGCCCCTGAGACCGGGACGCTGCAAACCGGGACCCTGCAAGACCAGAGAGAGAAGAGAGAGAAAGAAGGAGCCCTGAGACGGGGGTCGATGCAGACGGGGGTCAGCCAGAGCGCTGGGGCTTGAAGGATCCTGTAGAGCTAGGGGTGCATTGACCCGGGTTGGCGCGCAGGATCCTGCAGGATCTTGCAGGGTACTGCGAAGCTCGACTGACTGGGGTTTGCACTGACCCGGGTCACTGCGTCCCCGAAGAGGGGAGGAACGGAGCATGCTTCGGCGCGCGGCCGCGGCGTTCCTGGGCGCGCCGGCGTCCTGGGTCGTCGAAGTCCACGCCTGTGAGGCCCTGGCTCCCGCTCCGCCGCCCTCCCAGGTCAGTTTCGATCCGATCGATCCGATTCGATGTCGATTGCTGCGTTCCCGATCCGATTCGATTCCGGTATCCCGACGAGCCAGTGCGGCCCGATGCTCTCATCCAGGGCCCCAGAGGCAAGGACACTGCAAACCAGGACTTTGGATTGCAGTCGGACCGAGGTGTAAGATCGAGGTCGATTCGGGGAGGGTGCCCCAGTGTTCTTCGTGTTTGTTAGATGTTCTTGTCCATCCTGGGGAGGGTACCCTTGGATGTTTTGTGTGTTTTGGCCGACGGAGGGTCTCATGTCCTTGAGGGAGGTTCTTCTGGCCTAGGTCCGACTGTATCCAGCGTGAGGGTGGCTCGAGCCACGGCTGCAGTTCTCTTGGGTGCCCAGCGTCCTGGTGTAGAAAAGCCCCCGTTTCATAGGGCCCCAATGCACGGTGCTGTGGTTTATCCTGGCGAGGTAGATCCGAGTCGATCTCGACTCCGTGCCAATGCGGCCCGATCTGACACACGATCGGATCCGATCCGATTTCCCGATTCGATGCTGATCGCTCCTGCCCTGGCATTCGCCCCGCTGCCGCTGGCAGGTGCTCTCCTCGATGCATGGGCGCAGCCGGCGCCGAGAGTCGCTGGGAAGATCAGCTGCGCGATACTATTTGCCGAGCGCCTTTTTTGCTACGCCCCCTTCGTCCGCCCCAAGTTCATCAACGTCTTCCTTCGCGCGACTGCTGCGCATAGCCGACGCACAAGTGTATGTTGGGGCCCGCTCTCTTATGCTGTGTACTTCACATGAAGGAAGTGGCTTCGCATCTCAGCAGAGTCGGGGGGCGGGGCGGCTGCCTGGACTGACGAGGCTAAGCTGGGCATCGCAATGAGGTACCTGAAGGCAGCAGGGGCGGGGGCCGTGGGGAAATCTCCACGTGCTTGGAACGATATTCCCATGTGGTCACGCTTGTGCAGAACCCATGCGATCTCACTGGCCAGCTTGAGCGGCGTCTCCGGCCTGTCGGTGACCGTGCCATCGCATTTGAGCGGGCCCGCGCTCTGACGGAGCTCCGGCAGGCGGCCGATGCGGACAGGGCAAAGGAACCACGGCGAGCGGCCCAGGCGAGTCAGCAGGGCACCCGGCTTCCCTGCCGACTTGCCCTTGGGCGCGGGTCTTTTCTCGAGGGCCTCCTCCTGCCCGGCGGCGGGCGCGCCGCGGCGCCCGAAGAGGTGGCCGCAGCTTTTGCGCCGCCATTGAGCGGGCGTCTTTGCAGCGAGGGGGGTCCTGCTCGAGGGGTGGCGGTGGGGAGGCACTGGGGGCCGATCTGTTGAGGGCTGCGCCGTGTGGGGGCCGCAGTTGGTTTCTCCGGCGCCGTCCCGCCAGCCTTCGGGGGCTGCGTCCTCGTCGTGAACGCGTCGGCAAAGCATTGCGCCGATCTGGGCACTCGGCCCCTGGCCCCGATGGCATCCTTGAGAGCTGCGTGGAGGCAGCTCGGTGCCCTAGCAGAGTCGACATTGCGCGCTGCGCTCGTGGGCGGCTGCCGTTGGGATGTCCAGGCGATGCTTCAAGGGCTCCCTCGAGGGCGCGAAGTTATTCGCGCTTCGCGCTTCGCGGTCCTCGTTCCTTCTCCCCCTCCTCCTCGTCCTCCTATTCTCCCTTTGGGAGGGCGGCGCGAGAGCGCGAAGTTATTCGCGCTTCGCGCTTCGCGCAGCGCGAAGCGCGAAGTTGGGAGCCCTTGTTGCTCGTCTTCCCGCCCAGGGTTCCACGCGGCCAGACGGGGGGGGGGCGCGGGCGCGCATGCGCCGGGCGGAGTCCGGCCATTACTTTGACGAGCGCAACAGTTGCTTGCCTGCGCGATTCGGGCGGCGCATCGGGGGCGGCGGATCGCGGACAGCCAGTGACGGTTCCTCCCAGGGCGCGCAGTGAACGAGAACCCATCAGACGTGGGCGAGCGGATGCTGGAGGAGGCCGCGGCGGGGGAGTGCGCGCAGGCGATGTTCTGCGATTTCCCCTCGGCCTTCCCTGCTTATGCTCCGCTTTTTCCAAAGCCTCAGGTGGCCAGAGTGGCTCCGACCCTGCCCTGCTTGGGGCGTTTGTCTTGGCTGAGCTACAGCGGCATATCTCCGGGGGGGCAGCTGGCTCCCTGGCGTCGAACAGACGCGGGGCGTCCGCCAGGGGGGGCCCTCCTGTCGCTACTGCTGTTCGCCTTCGTCTCCGACCTTCGCTTGCGACGACTTGCCCGCCGTGTTCCAGGGGCGCACCTTCGGGCGTGGGCTGGCGACGTGGCGTTCATTCTGGCGCGAGCCCGCCGCGGGCTCCACGAGTGTGGCGTTTCTTTGGAGTTCGGTCGCACGTTGGGGCTCTGGCCGAACATCCCGAACGCAATCGTCGTTCCGCTGGATCCGACTGATGCTGAGGTATCCCAGGCTGCTCTGTCGAGGGCAGTGCCGGCTTGGGGCGGGGTGGGCATTGCGGGTGCGGCAAAGCGCTTCGGCTTCTATGTCGGCCACGGGCGCGCGCTGCGTTCGCGGGGCCGCCCGCTGGCCAAGTGTTAGGGGCGATCGCGATTTCGGGGGAACTGGGCGTGTGGGCGCATCCGATTGTTTCAAGTCTACGGGGTCTTCGTGCAGTCGGTGCTGATTCTAGTGGCTCAGCCAACGAAGCCTGCGTGGCGCTGTTTTGTGGCCCCGCTGGTTGGATGACTGCTGATTGCCTCCGGCACCTCGATGCCCTGCACCTGGCCGCCAGCTTCAAAAATGTCCGCGACGCGGCGATGGCGGCGAAGGCGCGGGTCGCGCGCGTCGAAGCGGGCGGTGCCCTGGAGGTGCGCCGGCGCGCTGGGCGCATCCGCGGGCTTCAGTGCCGCGGCGAGGTCTCCTTGACCCGGGCCGCTTGGTTCGAACATTGCAGAAAGCCAGAGCTTCTTGGCACGTCTGGCCACTGGGGGCCACGAGATGCACGGGCAGTTGCAGGTTGCCGCCAGGGGCGCGGAGTGGTTGGCGAGACAAATTGGATGGCAGCGCCGAGCGACCGCCTTGCTGCGGGGCGCCGCGGGCACCCCAGCATTGCTGCATTTAGGTTGGCAGTTGGATAGCTGGCCTGCGACCGCGCTCTCGGGACATCGTGTTCAGCGTGCCCAGCAACGCTTGCGCTGAATGGCTGCCCGGTGCTCGCCGCGTGTCGTGGCCGCGTGCGTGCGCTTGCTGCGCGACGGCTGGTGCGCCGGGCGGCGTTTTCAAGGGGTGGGCCCGTGGCGCTTCGGGTGCGGCGCCCGCGAAAGCATCGTGCATTCCGCGAGGTGCCCAGTGATCGCTCGGCTCCTCGAGCGCGAGGTCGGGGTCGCCCCTCCGGGCCCGCGGCGGGCGGTGGGCGAGTTCTTCGGTTTCGATTGGTCGGAAGAGACCGCGCCCTGCAGGGGGAGGGCGGTGCACGCTCTCCTTGGTCTCCGGAGTGTCCCCTGGCACGGGCACTTGCACGCAGAGGATCTCATCGGCGCCTTCCTTCCGCATCGCCTTGTGGGGCAGCGCAGGTTCAAGGCGTTCCAGGCAATGGGTGACGTTTTTTTGTTTTGCTTTGTTTTGTGCTCTCTCTCTCTCTCCCCCTCTTCTCCTTATTCGTCCCTTCTTTTCGAGACGGCCACCTGCTGGCTGGCGGGGTGTGGTTTTACTTTGGGCTGTCTGGCTCCTTCGCCTCCTCCTCTTCTTCCTTCTCTTCCTCCTCCTCCTCCTCCGGTCCTTCATATTGCATTGCCAGCCGTAGTGGTGCATGTCAGCGTTGGTCCTGTTTGGGTAACCCTGTGCAGGCAGGGTGGGCACGTGGTTGTTCATGGCCCTGTCAGCCTCCAGGGCAACCAGACGGGTTGCGTGCGAGATCTTGTGTGTTACTCTGTCCCTACCTGCCCTCCCTCCTCCTCCTCCTCCTCCTCCTCTTCGTCCTCCTCCTCCTCCTCTTCCTCTTCCTCCTCCTCTTTTACCTTCGCTTCGTCCCCTGTCAGGCGGGTTATTTGGGGGATGCCAGGCCGTCGATGTTGGATTTTTTGGGGGCCGCCTGTTGTCCCAGCCGCGTGGCCGACAGCGTCGCGCGCGTCCCGTGTTTTTTTGCAAGGGGGGGACGATCTGTCCCACTCAGGATTGGCTGGCTGCCAGTTGGCGCCAGCCGCTTGTCTCCCACTGGGCCCCACGCCCAGGGGCGGGGGACCGCTCCTTCCCACTCTCCCCCTTCCCTGCGTCCTCTCCTCTTCCTGCCCCTCCCTCTCTCCCCTTGGCTTCCTGGCTTCCTTCTCCTCTCCTCCCCCGTCGTCGTCGTCGTCTTCGTCTTCGTCGTCGTCTTCGTCGTCGTCTTCGTCGTCGTCGTCGTCGTCGTCCGTCGTCGTCGTCCGTCGTCGTCGTCGACATCGTCGTCGTGGTCGTCGTCGTTGTTGTCGTTGTCGTCGTTTCGTCGTCGTTGTCGTCGTTTTGTCGTCGTCGTCGTTAATCGTCGTTATCGTCATCGTCGTAGTCGTTGTCGTCGTCGTAGTCGTCGTCGTCGTCGTCGTCGTCGTCGTCGTCGTCGTCGTCGGTTCGTCGTCGTCGTCGTCGTCGTCGTCGTCGTCTTCCGTCGTCGCCGTCGTCGTCGTCGTCGTCGTCGTCGCCGCCGTCGGCGTGTCGTCGTTGTCGTCGTCGTCGTCGACGTCGTCGTCGTCGTCGTCCGTCGTCGTCGTCGTCGTCGTCGTCGTCGTCGTTTTCGTCGTCGTCGTCGTCGTCGTGGTCGTCGTGGTCGTCGTCGTCGTCGTCGTCGTCGGCGTGTCGTTGTCGTCGTCGTCGTCGTCGTCGCCGCCGTCGGTTGTCGTCGTCGTCGCCGTCGTCGGTTGTCTCGTCGTCGTCGTCGTCGTCGTCGTCGTTTTCGTCGTCGTCGTCGTCGTCGTCGCCGTCGTCGTTTTCGTCGTCGTCGTCGTCGTTTTCGTCGTCGTCGTCGTCGTCGTCGTCGTCGTCGCCGTCCGTCGTCGTCGTCGTCGTCGTCGTCGTCGTCGTCGTCGTCGTCGTCGTCGTCGTCGTCGTCGTCGTCGTGGTCGTCGTGGTCGTCGTCGCCGTGGGGGGGCGGTTCCTGTCTTCTCCGGGCTTGCGGCATCCCGTTCGGGGTGGGCTTCTGAGGAAGCAGCATCTGATTTATACACTCCCAGTCAAAAGTGGTGTGTGGGAGCTGCTGGCATTCGGATGCGTGCCGCACGCTCGGGTGCGCGTCTCACGACACATCGCTGTGCGACCGCTGGGAGAGCGCGTAGCTGAAGACGACGCTCGGCTGGAGCAGTCCTCCTTCCCTCCCTCGTCCTCCCCTGGCTCCCCTCCTCACCCGTGGTGCGGAGTTCGCCCTCCGTGCGGTATTTCGCATTCGCATCGAGACGGGGGGCCCCCCAGTCTCGCCGACCGCTCCCGGACCAGGGAGTCGTGAATGCGCCCGCACTGCCCTCTCTTGCTGGCCGCCTGCGATCCTGGCAGGATCACTCTTTCACCCAGACTGTTTTCAGCATGTTGCGTCCTCCGTGGCCGACGGCGGACGCATTTCAGTCTCAGCGCAGTTTGCCTTTCTGCGCCCCTTCCTCCTCCTGCCCCCGTCCATTGCTTCTGCTTCTTTTGTGCCAGACTGGGGCCAGTCGGACACGCAGCCTAAATCTTGCCAGCCTGTGTGTTCCACTCCCCTCGTCGTCCTCCTTCTCTTCCCTGGAGTTTGAAGCCTGGCGGATTCTGCGCTGCCTGCCCCAGGCCGACTATTCTCAACAGCGAGCTGTCCCTGTTCTTCTGTTCTTTCTGTCCTCCCGCTGTTTGGGTCTCTTCGTGGTTCAACGGACGCGGTGGTTGCCTGGCTACCATCTCAAGATCCGTTCCTGTAGCAGTGCACTCGAGATCGCTTCACGGGGGTGCTGTGCCGTGTTGCTGTCCTCTGCTTCGTCTGTCTTCAGAATTGCGCTGGAGTAGCAACGAAACGTGTGCGGGGTGTGCCGAATTTGAGCGGCGACGCCATGCGGACTCTAGCATTGGGGCCTTAGTTGGATGTGGCACGGAATGTGTGAGGGGTGTGCCGAAATGATGCGGCGACGCCATGCGGACCCTGGTATTTGGGCCTTAGTTGGAGCTCTTTTGGGGGCCACGAAATATGGGAGGCGAGTGCGCATGAGGACATGCGGAGGGCAGAGGCAGGGATGGGAGGGAGGAGGGAGTGCAGGAGGGGAGAGGAGTTGGATCAAAGCGAGGACCCAACATCACAGGATGACTGGGAACTATCAGCTTACCCATTCGTGGGGCCCCAGTTTCAGCCCCGCCGCCCTCCCGCTCCGCTGCGCCCCTCTCCGTCCCACTTCCGCGGCGCTCAGGAGGCCCTGATCCAGGTCCGCCCCAGCGGCCGCGACGAG